CTGTTAGTAACACGGGAGACAACGACATATAACTGGCCATGACTAAAAACTGGTTTCTTTAAGAATAAGCCAACATGCGATAATGATTGACCTTGACTATTGTTTATAGTCATTGCGTACGAAACCATAATGGGGAAGTGTCTTCTTTGAAATTTGAATAGTACTCTAACATCAGAAGGAGTTATTGTCATCCGAGGTATCAAAACTTTATCACCTGCATGATCGCCAGTAAGAATTTTACACTCGAGAACATGATTGGAGAGTTTAGTCACAACCAATCGTGTACCATTGCAGAGTCCCATTGAGTGATCCATATTCCGCAACAACATAAATGGAGTTCCGACCTTCAAATTCAATTCATGGTTCGGCGTTCCAGAACACTTGATAGTGTTCAAGAACTCAGGAGTATGGAGTTATGCCACAAAGTCGGTATTGGAGTCGAATTTACACGTATTGTCTGAACTTAAATACGTGCGTCCCTCATTCAAATTTAACGACGACATGTATTCATTAATAGATTCTACGATATCGAGTGTTGGCGCAAGTATAGCTCTATCCTTCAAGTAACTTGGATCGTCGGTTGTATTCTTGAACATCGGAAACGTGCTTTCAACAATTTTTGCAATTGGATCATCGGATGACTCTAGTAATAGATCATCTGGCATGTCTATCGGAGAACATCCATCATTTTTACCCCCCAATGTTCCATCTTCAATGCTCGCTATCCAATCAGCAAAAGCGACCAACTCGTTACGTTCATTCGAATCGCCAATGCTCTGAAGACGCATATTTTTTTGTAAGCCTAAACACAGTACATTCTCCCAAAATGCTAGAAGAGTTAATAGCAGCATTAACAATCTCCTGACGACTCCCCTTTGGAACTACCGGAAGGATTTGTAGAAAGTCTCCACCAAACACAACAGTCTTGCCTCCGAACGGTTTATGATGATTTGTCGGGTCGAGGGCTCCCATTATTGTCATAAAAGATGCTTGAACAGCTTCAAAACAATGCTTATGCATTATTGGGGCCTCATCCCATATGATCAATGAAGAGCGAATAATCAACTCGGCAAGGGGGCTAGCCTGATTGATCTCACACGATGAATTTTCATGCACATAAATAGGAATGCCAAATCGAGAATATTGTGCAGTTCGTCCGCCCGGCAACAGGAGAGATGCTATTCCACTTGATGCAACACAAAGCAAAATTCGACCGTGCAATCTTAGCCGAACAGCTAAAGTCCTCCACAAGTATGTCTTTCCAGTTCCACCATAACCATACACAAAAAACACGCCGCCCCTGCCGGAATGAACATATGTCATTATTTTGGAATAAACACCCTTCTGTTCATCGATCATATGTGTCAGCAATGCATCATGCTCAATAGCTAGAGCCTTACGGTCATAGTTAAGTTCATCCAAAACCAGACGGTTCACACTTGAATTAATACTACTCATATCTGGAAAGGCATAGTAGAATAGTCCTTTATTCCAAACCCAACCTAACTCAACCCAACATAATATTTATTTTATATCTATTTATATATTTATTTAATATTATCTACAATAATTTTTTTGTTATTATTTTAGTTGTGATATGATAAAATAAAAGATATGATAAATTTGATAAGTTACGATTAAGAAAAAAGAGTGAAAAGATAGAAATTGCAATTATGTTCCAAAATATATCAAGAGTGGTCTCTATTTATAGAGAATGAAAAATTATTTATTTATTTTTTTATATAAATTAATGTCACTAATTTGAGTTACAATTATCTTATTATAGAAAAATTTTATAGACCAATAAGAATGAGACACTTGCCCCATTTTACTCACCTCATTTCTCTCTCCCTCCTTGTGGCTAGGTTGCGATCCAAGGTCACAATTTGACCTGAGTCGCGGATTTTGCTATTTTTTTATTTTTTTATTATTTTTGAGTTGGTGACCTAATAAAGATAGTATAATATTTATTTTATTTTTTTTATTTATTTAATAAATATTATCTACAGTACATTGTTTGGTATTGTTTTATCTACAACCTAACCCAACATAATAATTTCAATTGTGTTCCAAAACATATCAGGAGTGGTTTCTATTTATAGACTATGAAAAAAATACGAATTTTGGTATTTTTTATTTTATTTTTTAAAATAAAACAATATCAATAATTTGAGTTATACTTATCTTATCATATAAAATTTATAGTGGACCAATAAAAATAGGACAAGTGTCTCATTCCTATTGTATGAAAGTTAGATAATATGGAATCTCAAAAAAAAATTTCATGTAATCTTTTTATTTAGATTTTTTAATTTTTTTTTTTCAAAATTTTCAAAATTGGTTGGATGACGCTCAGATTTCAACTTTTTGCCAAAAAACTTTAGTTTCATTATATTGACTTTAGGCAGAAAATGAATTCCTTATTTTTTTGCTGATTTTTTTGATCTTTTTTCAAATAAATATCA